ATATATATATATATATAATATTACACAAAGAATATCAAACACTTAAAATCCCATAGGTAATAATTTTATTTCATGAGAGCTGCTATTTGAGAGCTGTCTTTTTAACACAGAGCTCTCCCTGGATTTATATCCTCCTTGAAATTCCATACAGATCACCATATATTGTATCATTATATATATATATATATATATATATATATATATATATATATATATATATATATATGAGTATTATCGCAGCAATTCTTTTTTTTATACAAATTTCATTTTCTGCACTTAAATTTTATTCAATTTTCTTGCATTCGTACGTGTTTTTTTTCTTTCTTTTCTGGACCTAATGTGTGTAAAAACTGTCCAAATATTTTAGATATCCGAGCGCTTTCGGCTATCCTGTTAGCCATTATCAGGGATGATTTATTTTATTTTTAATAGGATATGTAGTTTTATATATGTCTATCTATAGGAACTGATTTTTTTTTAAAAACACGGTAAGCACATTGTCAACTATTGTCCTCATCTTTGTTGTTATTACAACGTTTCGCTCGTTGCGTCTTCCGGCCTTCATCAAGTCTACATCGATCCGTGTAACCTGCCAGGAATTCGGGAATAAGCTTTTTATTTAAACTTCATATCCTTTGTAACACTTAATAATCTTTGTCTTTTTGTTATTTCTCCTAAAACCTGTTCTGCCATCAATTTACTGAAGCTCACTATGTATGTCATGCGGTTGTTTTCCTCTGTCCATCTTGCCTTTAATCTGTTCCGTGTGTATCAGATTTTCCAAACCCAGTTTCCTTATGATGTACCTTAGAAATTTCAATGCCTCTTCTGATGTTAAGTATAAGTTTCCATTTAGTTTTCGTTTTTTCTAAAACTTCGTCGTTGCTCACAAAATCAGTCCATGTTATCTTCAGCATCCTTCTGTAGAACAACATTTCTGTTGCTTCAAGTCTCTTCTTCATTTTTAGGAGATTGTCCAGCACTCACTGCTATACAGGAGGACATATATCACATAACAGTTTAGTATTCTTTTTCTTGTTTCTTGCGAAGTTTTTCTATCTCTTAGGACTCAGCTTAATTTTTGCAGTGCATCATTTTCTATTGCAATACGCCTTCAGATTTCAGTATGACACTTCCATCAACTATTAAGACACTTCCCAGATATTTAAATGTTTGTACTTCTCTGATTTTGGAATATCTGGTTTGCAATTCGCACTTTGGTTTCGTCCTTTTGTTAACAATAATGCATTTTGAATTTTTTTTTATTTTTCTTTCCGTCGGCTCTCCAAGCTATATCATCTGCATATCTTAGGTTGTTAAGATTGTGACCGCCAATAATAAATCCTGGTAGGACATGTATAGGAAATTTGTTAAAAAATAATCTTTAATCCTATGAAACGTGTAGATTGTTGCGAGACGCCCTAGCGCAATGTGGATTAAATCGATTCAACTAAGTCAAGAGCAAGAGTAACAACGTTTCCATGATTTTCTTTCGGACAGTTGCCATTTTTAGCATTGAAATATCCGCTAAGCATTAACGGCATTTAATCATTGTTCCAATTATAACGCGCAATGTTCTTTCCGACTTGGTACACCGTGTGTCTAATTCGGTTCATTTTGACAGGCCGTCACAAGGCCTAAAAACGGAAATAAAATCGACAACTGTCCCAGTTAATGCAACGTCGATATGTCTCTGCTATGGGCACACGTCTCGTGTCGAGGCTTTGTATAACCCTTTTGAAAAGCTAATCCTCCTGGAATAGAGTAGGGAAGAAAAACTTGGTTCGCGTGTTTCTCACTATATTTAAACATGTTCGGGCAACGTCGAAAAAAGGATAAAGGAAAGATAACGAAAAACTAGAACAATAAGAGGATATTTGGAGAAAGCAAAACGACAAATATGGCATCTAATCTACTTCCGGACTGCGTGATAGGCGGTCACTTTGAGACAGGAACGAATCTTAATGCGTTGATCTGGTTTCTAGATTAGTGCAAGTTTGGATTGGATTAAAATGGCAAGTAGAAACGAGAGAAAGCCACAAAGAAAATGGCGACGTTGAAGCAGAGAGAGAGAGAGAGAGAAAGAGAGAAAAAAAACACGAGAATCAAGTAAAAAGACATTTGTCCCATGACAAAAATGGATATTAAGATACCATTCTGAACTCAATCGACAAGGTTTAACGTTGTGTACTTTATTCTATTTCAGTTGGCTAGAAGGTTAATTTGGTAGCGCCCATCTCCTCTTAGAAATTCAGTCCATGATGTAGTGCGTGGTAGTGAGAAACGTCGGTTAGAGAATAATCCCATGTGTCATATCGCATACCTGATTCAGAAACCCTCTACCTAGAGTGTCTCGCGAGCCTTGTATTAAGAGAAATAAAGAAATTGTCGGTATTGCGTATTATATATTATAGTGCTTTATCTACTGTAAAGGAAATAGCAGGATAAAATTTTAGGGAAGGTGGGGCCATGCCTTATTTTAAGACATTAGTGTGAAAGGAATAAAAGAATTTATTTGGTTACGTTTCTAGACTTGACTACCATTACGCTATTGTGTATTCCCAAGAGAAAAAAGCAGAATTATAAGATTAATCCCGGTAGGTGAAAATAAATAAATATACTGTTTAGTAAATAAATGGAGCGCGTACTCAAATACGATTATCCATTAAAAATAACATTTAAATTGATACACATTTATTGGGTTAATAAAAACCAGTTCTAAATATCTGTTTACGTTTGGGTACGAAAGTATGAACAGAAATTTTGCTTGAAAAGCATGAAATTAACTGACCGCCTGTTCCCTCGTGACCAAGCGGTAAGACGTGTCGGGCTAAACGATGGCTCCCTCATACCTGAGGTACGCAGGTTCGTTTTCTGATGAAGAGCACAGATCTTTCTTTAATAAGATTTCTCTAATATCCAAGTCAGTCGGTGAAAATAAATAAATATACTACTTCCATTATTTACATTACTCGGACTGTTATCCTCATCTTCATTGCCATATTCACAACGTTTCGGCTGTTGTACGTTCCGGCCTTCTTCAGGGAGACGAACCCTTTATTTTTTCCACCGCGGTAGATTCTTCTATTTCCATGTGCCATGCCTCTTCCGGATGTCTCATATATTTCCCTTTAACTCAGCTTTCCAAGTTTAGGTTCACCACCGCTGTGGCCTGGTATAGTCACTAGATCTAAGCAACGTCTTTATCAAAAGAGTTGTGAGTTCAATGCCAGATATCCGGAAGAGACATGGTACGTGAGACTAGAACAATCTACCCCGGTAGACGAAATAAAGAGTTCAGTTTGAAATTCCAGTCACCTGATGAGGGCCAGAGAGTACAACGGCCTAAACACTGTGAATATGGCAGTGAAGATGAGGATAACAGTTCGAATAATGTCAATAATGCAAGTAGTATATTTATTTATTTTCACCGACTGTGTCCAGTATGTTACGAATAAGGTCCAGTAGGTCTCCATGATTATTTAAATGAGACCTAATTGAGCTATGTTCAGAAAGATGTAGTGTGAGTCTTCTTGTCAATCATGTTGTAGTGTGGCCTAGATAATTGTTTACAAATTTTGATTGATCAGGAATGCAATTCCTTTGGCCACACTACAACATGTTTGACAAGAAGACTCACAATACATTTTCTTGGTCATAGCTCAATTAGCTCTCAGTTAAATGCCCATAGAGACCTACTGGACCCCATTCGTAACATACTTGTTGATAACACAAATATAATAGCATCGTCTACATGTAAAAAAGGCTGAAAATAATGGAAGCCTTATTACTAAAGACTAAAAAGGCACTCAATAATATCAACTATGAAAATGGATACAATATCTCGATCGTGTTTTGAAAATAAAAACTTTATATAAATACACACAAACAACAATCTATTTCTTGTTAACAGTTAATATATTTGAACCTTGAAAATGGCTAAATGCATAGCCGAAAGCGCATGGAAAGAAGAACAATTGGACAGTTTTATATAATTATATAATTTATCTACCGAAAAGAAAAAAATTGTAAGATCACATGAGAAATTATATAAAACACTAAATCAAAGCAAATCTGTCATATCCAATGAAACTTGCATATATATATATATATATATATATATATATATATCAGTTAAGGAACAAAATTTATATTTGTATTAATCCTATATATGAATATATAATATCGCACAATGAGTGCTGGTTTTAATTAAATAATGCTCGATGTAGAATAACAGAGTTATAAATTATATATTACTAATAAATATACATTTTCCCTAAGCGGTAACACAACTCTGAGCTTCATGCACAACGCAATATTCAGGTGCTGATTGAAAACTGACCGTTACATAATTTAAATTTGGTTATAAATACCGGACTATGGAAACAGCGAATAGACAAAGGTTTGCAACTGTGCACCTATGGGAGACAGGTTTTCGTTGATATTTATTCGCCTACATGGCTGCGTAAACTCTTTTGGATTCTGTAAATAAATAAATTGTTACTCTTTGCTACCTAATAGACGTGTTGGGTACTAATTTTTTTTTCTTCATTTTTGGTAGAGAATTTTCTGACCATGAGCTCATTAAAAGCCCTATCGCACATTTTGACCTTTTAAATAATTTTTCCTATCCCTCTTTTAGTAAAACCCGCGTTTAGTGCCTGCTGAGAATATCTCCGATTACCCTCCCCGATTATTAAGACCCCCTTCTTGTATTTGATACCAAAGAAAGAAAGAAAGAAAGAAAGAAAGAAAGAAAGATCAGGATTATCGTGACCCCCAGTCCGTGTGTGAAGATATAAGAGAGACTGTCGGATGCCAGAGAGTTTGTTAAGAGTTAAAATGAAGGTTGGAAACTACAAAGGAAGAAAGAGACAGTGCATAAAGATGGATGGGGAAGAAGAAAGATAACCAATTGTTCGTTCATTCATAACGTTAATCCTCCCATCGAAACCCGTTATCCTTGTCACTCCAACCCTCACCAACATACACGACGTCGGATGAATTGGATGCCTACTCTTTTTTGGCGAAAGACACGCTGTCTGCCGCCTGACGATTTGTCTTCTTCGACATCGTCTTATCCAAGTTTTTCTCGTCTCCCAACGGATTTTTGTTGTTGTTCTGTTTTTGATTTTTTTTTTTAATTTGTTTATTTCTCAGTGTAAGAACACACCATTATTCGAGGCAAAACAAAATAGAACTGAGCCGTCTGAGAATCTTGGTTTTGTTGGTCTGTGCGTGCATGTGTATGTATATATTTTTTTTTCCTTGTTCTCTTTTCTCGTGATTACGTTAGTCTCGTTTTCTCCGCTTTTCCTCGGCATGCTTCTTTTATTGTCATTCTTTCTTTTTCTACTTTCTTCCTCTCAGTTTTTTTTCCTGTTTTATTGATAGTTTTCTTTCTTTTTAATCCCTTCTTTTTATTGAAAGTTCTTCAACTTTTGTCCGAGATTCTTTATCCAACAAATTCGTCTCATATTTCATCATTGTTACCAAAGAATTTGTCTGCTTTATTCTACGTCTTCTCATTAACTGACATATTTTACCATTATTATTATTTTATTAATATTATTATTAATATTAATAATATTATTATTATTGAGACCAGTGCGACAATAAAATGACGTTAGTGTACAAACCAAATGTACGCCACATGACACCTTGTCTAGTAAGTGCAGAGTGTAAACGCTTCCTGTTCCATTGGAGAGATTGTGGTGGATCCACTCACATTATAGAAGCAGAAATTAGCCTTGTGTTCACAGAGATAAAATCATACTTTACAGGAAATAAAATGTACATAATTAACAAGAAAAGCATGGTAAATTCTATGTTAATTTCATACAATTTGTTTATATTTTTTGCGTTTATTGGTCTGTCTATTTTTTTAGGTTACAATTGTTTTATGGTACATGTGAGAAAAGGGAGAATTTACTCCGTAGTATTACGAGCAAGTGAGAAGACAGACACGTGTTGCCCGTACCAAGGTTCGTGGCGAAGAGATTGAATTTAATGTCTTATGGAGGGATGTCCGTATTTCCGGCAGAAACAGTTTTTGTTGCATGCTGGAAGTATTTTTATTATTTTTATACAACGTTTTTATGTTATTGTTTTATTTTATTTTATTTATAATTTTCGTTATTATCATTTTAGATTTTATTTTTATTTATTTATAATAATAATATTCCTACAAGATTTAAGTTCCACACGAGCAGCTTCTTCCCACCAAGCGTTGCTTCGTGAAATCGACTCCCCCAATCACTACAATCTTGGCCTGTTCAAGACTAGGGTCAACCGTTATCGTTCGCATTAACTATGATTCTTACTTTGTAAACCTCTACCTCGAGTGGCTCTTGGGTCTTGTACAGGGTGAACATCATTGTAAAGAATAAAAACCAGGCATATTGCAACAATGCTAAATGTACGCAATATGGTGAGAGGTTTTGTTAAAAGCAGTGCATAAACTTACATGGTCCAATTAGAAATACCTCGAAGTCAATTAACCCACTCAGATGAGCTTCGATCCAGGGGGATACCAAGTATATTTACTGAAGATCGTCTTAATTCACTAAGTCAAAACATGTACATTTTAACACTCCCAATCAGTTAAGATCAGAAGCCATGACAGCTATGATAACATCAGAGCATTTATTATTATTATTATTATTATTACGAGAGCAAATAAAAACTATCCGATTTTTCGCCATAACATATTTTTACCTTTGACACGCTGCCTTCTGCTCATGCTTGCTTATAGTTGGTACGATTGAGGTCACGTGGTTGAAGTTTCAGCTTAATTGTGCAATTTTTCTTTGTGCTGTTACAGTGCAAACATGGCCGCTCCGCTATCAGTGTACGCCACGGAAGAACAAAGAGCAGTGATCCGATTTCTCTGGTCGCAAGGTGTGTAAGATACTAAAATTCATTGAAAGCTTTTGACACAATATGGTGACAGTGCACTATCGCGTAGAAGTGCGTATGAGTGGAAACAGATGTTTACAAGTGGCTGGACAAGCGTGACGCACGAAGAAGGAGCAGGGCGCCCATCAATCTCCACCACCGACGAAAAAATTCAGTCAGCTAGAGAGATGTTAATGGAGAACTGGCCAGTTATCATCGATGAGGTATCATATTCTCTGCAGATCACTGTTCTTTGTTCCTCCTTGGTGCACACTGCTAGCGGAGCGTCCATGTTTACACTGTAACAGCAGCAAGAAAACCGGTGTGATCATGCGCAAACTTCGCTCACGTGAACAGAATAGTACCAACTATAAATTGAGTGTAAAAAAATATGAGAAAAAAAAAACATTATTAAGTAGAAGGAACAGTAAAAAAAAGAATTTAAGGAAACAGAAGATAACGATTGACATAGTATTTAATTTTTTTGTAGATGAAAGTTGACCGGAAAGCAAGAAACGGGAAGAGAATTCCACAGGCGAGAAGTGCGAGAGAAGAGAATCTGTTAACTCTCCTTGATGGAGCGATTTCGTTTGTTTGTTTTTTGTTTGTTTAGCAGCATATCAACTCTTTATGGGTCATTTAATACCGAAATTTAATTTTCTTTGGAGTATTATTAATTTCTTTTACAAAAATGTATTAATGGTATTTTTTTCAAAAATGTGTTGCTGGTATTTTTTAACGACGAAAATATATTGCTGGTATGCTTACTGTAAAAACGTATTTTTATACTTTTATAGTGTTTTGACCCCAGTTTGGGTGTTAACTATTTGCCGATAGCTGGGACCATAACACGTGCTTCCCCCTCCGGGTCAGGGTCGACCTGGGAACACAGCAATTAAGACACGGCTTCACAAATGAACAGATCGATATCTTCTGTCTAAATTTCAAGGTCTTTTGGGTAGTTCCTTATATAGGATTCCTGAATGATTTAAAATAACGTCTGATCATTTTAAATACATTTTGTTTACGTTGACCTGAGATATCACAAATGTTTGGGCATCTTAAATTTTACATTCATTGAAATCCAGTTTAGCAAGAGATCATTTTTTTAATTATTTCACCCTGAGTAAGGCAATAAAGCCACTAAGACGCATGGAAGTTACTGAGTGTTAGAGAATATGAGAAAAAAAACAATATTAAGGAGAGAAAACTATAAAAGAAAATGAATTAAGAGGGCAGATGATAATGATTGTCATTTCATTTAAATTTTTGAAGATCAAAGTTGACTTGGAAATAAGAAGGCAGGGGTGTCATAGAAGAAATTATTAACATAGAACTTACGGTTACATCTAACCATTTCGACGGCAAATGAGGAAACCTTGTCGCCAATGTAGCACTTCGATTAAACGCATAAAATGTAACACAGAGCAAAGATTATCAAAACGATTAACATGAAACTATTTATAGAAAAGGCATATGGAACGTTACGGCAGTGGGAAAGTGACTGAAGACGAAATGCCAGATCAGGACACATAACATTGCAGATTCTTCTGTATATCTTATCAAGAATCTCTAAATACACGGCAAAAGCCCCACACCAGATGTGGCAGCAATATTCAAGGTAAATGGAGGAAAAGTTCGACTTATACATATGTAAGAAAAAAATTGTCTAGCACAACCAAGTAAACGAACTTTCCTAGCAGCAGACCTCACAATTAATTCAATATGCACTCCATATCAGGGGAAAACGTTAGTTCGAGCAGGCGCAGTTCGTCACTCTCCTTGAGGCTAGCATCAGCCATGCTGGTGGCAGATAAAGAGGATTCTTTCAGACAATTATAAGAGGCAGATTGTGTATGATATGTGAGATACCATTTCTGAATGTTTCAAGAGATACCATTCGAAGAACATAAAATGCTTTCGTTTTTTATGGAATGAAACTAACTTTAATCAAGATGAAAAATAGGTCAAATGATATGTGGTTAAGTGTCGTGTTTGGGGTTTTGAGTAGCGTAAGGCATATCATAACACCTTACTTCTTTTCACATGGTCTTTGGGTTAATGATACCAGTTATATAGAAGTGATTGAAAGGTCTGTTAATTTCTGTATACACCGAGTACATGATGAAAGGTCATACGTCGAGACTTCCCACCACCCGATAAAACTCAACTGACCCAAGAATGTATGAGTGACAATTTTTGCGATGATATAACGCCTTACATGTAACTGGCAAAATGGGTGGAACTATATAATCCGGTACCGTAGCTCAGATGTGGCACAAGGCCGAAAGTATGGGGTACCTAGTGTGGATCGATCTCACTACTCAGTCGTAATTGATCTAGCGAGACAAGCTTACTAACCATTACACCACCTCGAGGTGCCCTAATATTTTCCAAGCGTAGCTTAGATGTGTCACAAGGCCGAAAGTATGGAGCACCTAGTGAGTATCGAACTCACTACTCAGTCGTAATAGTTCTACCGAGACAAGCTTGCTAACCATTACACCACCTCGCGTTAATGAGAGAAAGGTTGATCAACATTTCCAATATACGGAGAATTCTCTGAGGTCAGCCATGAAGACAATGTCTGAAATGAACAAAGAGTCTTTCTTTTGGGCATGCAATTGTTTCCGACTCCGAATCAATGTAGCCATTGATGCTGAAAGGTTATTTATTTACTAAATAAACCAGTTATAAAGCTACACATGTGTAAAAATTTGGATGACGAGAAGCTGTTTTCGTTGTTGTTGTTGTTGTTGTTGTTGTTGTTGTTGTTGAGATATGCTTGTAAAATCCTAAATTTGTTATCAAGTATTCAACACGCCCTGCATTTGCTGGGTAATGGTGATCTGGATTTCTACAGATAAAAGAATTTGTCAAAACCTGCTGGAAACTTTTGCACCAAAGTAATCATTTATCTCCATCTACCTGTCGTATGCTATTGGGGGAAACAGTTTTTGAGAATAACACAATCACCTGTAAAAAGAATGCGATGGAAAAGAAAACCTGAAGGAAGACATTAAATTAATGTTAAATGAATCGTTAATTCTCCTCTGGGGATGCTAAATGAAATGCAATTAATCATTAAGCGAAGTATAATGAACAACATTACAAGAGCGTTTTTTTTTTTCTGTTTTTCATATCGACTAAGAAGACTACCCTAAGGTTATTTGGACCTACAAATTAATTTCTTTTTAAATCCATATTTCATCGAGGTTTCTGGGAAATTTCCAATAAATGTAACTGAGTCAAAACTAAATCAATTTTTTTAAAATCAAAATATGAAATTCGGAAAATAATTAAAATATTTCTGATTTTTTTTTTTTTTTCTTTTCAAGTTGAATTTTTATTTTACTAATGCACGGAAAGACTAATTTCGAGTCAATCTTTAGTCACCGCGTTATATTGACTGTTCTGGATAATGGAAATCAGGAAATCCTGTCTGCCCAAGTTTCACATTTTACTTCAAACGGATATGGTTATTTTATTTTTTATAGTGTATGTCGATATATATATATATATATATATATATATATATATATATATATATATATATCAGTGTGTTCATATCGGTCTGTCTAATTGTCTATCTAGTTTGATCTATTTTACCTATCACGCTCTCTGTCTCTGTCTCTCTCTATATATATAAATGCATATATATATATATATATATATATATATATATATATATATATATATATGTATCAGTGTGTTCATATCGGTCTGTCTGTCTAATCATTTATCTGGTTTGATCTATTTTACCTATCTTTCTGTCTGTCTCTGTCTCTCTCTCTCTCTCTCTCTCTCTATATATATATATATATATATATATATATATATATATATATATCAGTGTGTTCATATCGGTCTGTCTGTCTGTCTAATTATCTATCTAGTTTGATCTATTTTACCTATCTCTCTCTCTCTCTCTCTCTATATATATATATATATATATATATCAGTGTGTTCATATCGGTCTGTCTGTCTGCCTAATCATCTATCTGGTTTGATCTATTTTAGCTATCTCTCTGTCTGTCACTGTCTCTGTCTCTCTCTCTCTCTCTCCTCTCTCTCTATATATATATATATATATATATATATGTCAGTGTGTTCATATCGGTCTGTCTGTCTAATTATCTATCTAGTTTGATCTATTTTACCTATCTCTCTCTCTCTCTCTCTGTGTCTGTCTGTCTGTCTCTCTCTCTCTCTCTCTCTATATATATATATATATATATATATATCAGTGTGCTCATATCGGTCTATCTGTCTGTCTAATTATCAAACTAGTTTCATCTATTTTACCTATCTCTCTCTCTGACTCTCTCTCTCTCTATATATATATATATCAATCGGTGTGTCTAATATCTTTCTGGTTTGATCTAATCATCTTTCTGGTTTGATCTATTTTCTCTCTCTCTCTCTCTATATATATATATATATATATATATATATATATATATATATATCTTCTTCTCCAATAGCTTTATGTCTCGCACCTGTGGAACTTCCTTCCCTATTCCAGTTTCCCTGAGAGCTATAATCTCCAACTATTCAAATGTAATGTCAATCGACATCTCCAGTTGCCTTGATCTATCCACTATCCTTCTCCTCATCTTTTCCTCTATCACTCCTATCTGATCTTGCTCGAAATCTTCTGTAATCCCCTTACGTCCTAGTGGCTTCCCGCCTTGCTTTGGGGTGAAACGCTTAAAATAAATAAATATATATATATATATCCGTTGCTATAATCATAAGACTAACGCAGAATACAGAGCAAATTTGCTTTATATAACCAGTTTGTTCATATCTATCTATCTATCCCTGTCTGTTTATATCTATCTATCTATCTATCTATCTATCTATCTGCTATTATCTATATAATTGTTTTTAACTATATTTCTATCTATGTATCTATCAATCTCAGTATGCCCATATCTGCCTGTTCATTTGTCTGTCTGTATAGTTATTGTCTTAGCATAGCTTAGATGTGGCACAAGGACGAAAGTATGGGACACCTAGTGAGGATCGAACTCACTTTTCAGTCGTAACTTATCTATCGAGACAAGCTTGCTAACCATTACACCACGCCGAGGCACCCTTCTGTCTGTCTGTATATCTATCTCTGTATCTATCTATCTGATTTTATCGATACAGCTGGTTTTAATTATCTGTGTGTCAATCTGTCTATCTACCTGTCTATCGATCTCTGTGGCTTTCCGTCTATGTATCTACAATTCTCGTTTTATCTATACAGCTGGTTCTATCTATCTATCTATCTATCTATCTATCTATCTATCTATCTATCCAGTTTGTTCGTAGATATCTATTTATCTACCCGGATTTTGTAATATCTATCTATCTGGTTTGGTCTATATCGCTTTTTATCTCTCTCTCTCTCTCTCTCCCTCTCTCTCTCTCTCTTTCTCTCTCTCTCTCTCTATATATATATATATATATATATATATATATATATATAAATCTATGAATCAGTCTAATAATTAGTAAGTGAATGAATGATAAATGCAAATAATTCCTGTGTTACGTGATTCGTTACTCGAAAGGACTTCTGGTTTTATTCAATGTAGTCTAATATATTATACATTAGGTAAATTAAATTTTATAGTTAGAGACTCAGAAAGTGATCTAAATCGTATTTTTTACATTTTTGACGTCGATATATCGAGATGCATAAGTTAACCGACCTTATTTAGGAGGACAATAGATATCAATTGACAGTGCAGTTAAATTTTTACCACATACCTCACTATTCTTTATCGAGAGTGCAATTGGAAACGATGTAACGTTGTTGTGAAGAGGTTCAATTCCTACGAGCGATGACGAATAGTGGTGTCTGGATTTTCGGCCACATTCTCGTGCACTGTAACAAAGTTTTCAGTTGAACGGCGTAAACGAGCACATGATGGTGTTTTCACATCCGCCACCGATCCAATTTGTTTGAATTTACGAACAATTTTTCCACTTGAACTCTTGAAATTTTAGCACGTTGCTTGATTGTTAATCTTTCCATGGTTGAAATTGCCAAAGACTTTGTTTGGCAAACTGAAAGAAAAAGAAAAAATAATTAGACGCTTAAACTTAATTCACATTTAAAATCGGTCGAAGTTATTAGAACACCCTTTACGTTATTTTATTAGATAAAATGTAATTAATTAAATGTTCTGTTATTAATTAGACAGTTTTAATTCTGTTTGTTAATTAAGCAGTATTAATTACATTTACCGGCCTGAATGTTCGAAAAATTTCGTAGAAAATATGCGTTCTCTGACAGTAATCGAACCTGTATTCCGATACGGAAAACATTATATGATCTGACGTTCTATACCATTTGCTACAAAGAAGCGTCTGGTTAGCAAGGTCGCAATGGCTACATTTAGTCGTTTCGACCCTGAAAGGGTAGGACCGAGATGCCAAACTAGTAGCACGCCTAAATTCCTGCAATTTGGGAACCAGTAAAAGTAGCTCGCCGGAGCAGTTGCCATGAAAGTACTTGTAGAAAAGGGAAGCCAAAGCACGTCTGTGAAATAGCGACTGCAGACGGGATGACAGATCAGGACCAATCATGTTGCATATCCGTCTCTGGATTTTGTCTAGGACCTCGAGATGAACAGTGAAAGAACCAGATCATATATGGCAGCAGTATTCTATGCAATGACGAATGGTTGATTTGCAGATTTAAAGTATCGACTCCGGCGAGAAGAACCTACTGACGCTACACAGAGAACCACCTTTCCTTGCGATAGATGAAGCTATAGATTCAATGTAGTTGTTCCATTTCAGGTCAGTGATCAGCGTGAGACCAAGCAGGCACAGGGAGGAGTTGGGCATCAGCCATCGTGATGGAAGACAGAGCAGTTTCATTTTGGAGGCATTAAAGTTTACACGCCATTTTCTGCCCCAGTCAACCACAGAATGGAGGTCCTTCTTGAGCCCTACGGCCAGGTTAGTTTTGTCAACGATGCTGGATCGGCTATTAAGCCAAGAGCAAATAGTATTGTCGTCAGCGTAGATGTCAAATTGTCGGTCTTAATCCATTTCAATATATATATATATATATATATATATATATATATATATATATTAAAAACTTTAGATGATGAAATCATGCATCGGATTGCTAAGGCTACCAGTGCTTTCGGCAAACTTCGCCATCGCTTGTGGAATGAGCGGGGTATTCGACTGGATAAGAAAATTCGGGTTTACAGAGCTGTTTTACTTGCCATCCTTTTGTATGGCTCAGAGTCAACGGACTCCATACAGGTACCATATACGTCAGCTAGATGTTTTCCATAAAAGCTGTCTGCGTACAATCTGTGGAGTTAAGCTTCAAGATAGGGCATTTAACGTAGACCTGTTTAACAGGTGTAATATTGGAGGAATCGAGACTCTTATCATACAGTCTCAGTTACGGTGGACTGGTCATGCCTTGAGAATGTCTGATGACAGGATACCCAAGATCCTAATGTACAGCCAGTTAGATCAGGGCTACAGGAATGTAGGACGCCCATGGCTAAGATACAAAGACAAGCTGAAAAGCAACTTGTCAGCCGTCAATATACCACATAACACCCTTGAGCGCTTAGCTTTGAAGCGGGTAGAATGGAGATCAACGTGTTTTAGTGGACTCAGCAATTTTCAGTCTGCTTGTCTGAATCATCTTCAAGAAGCGAGAGCAAGATCTAAAAGGTCAATCAATCTAACTGTGATCTCATCTCACAATCCTCACACTTGCTCCATATGTGGCCTCGTTTGTAAATCACTAGCGGGTCTTAAATGCCACTTAAGATTATCGCACAAACTTTCATAACTGAATCAATAAGCTGTCAGATCCTCATACGTCGAAACCGACGGGAGAGTATATATATATATATATATATATATATATATATATATATATATATATATATATATATATATATATAGTTGTATGTATGTATGTGTTTGTAATGGCTATAATGTATGTAATGGCTATGAATGATTATCGATTTAGATGTTTTGCACTCCTCTTCATTGTATGCCTCTCTACGGCCACTATTGTGCACATGCAAGCTTTCGAATAGAAAGTTGCATAAATATGGCGATCTCTTTTTGCTGCAACATCTAATTGCATATCTGCATATGTGTGATTTTCTCTCTGTATGTGTTGTCATCAACAGCACAATTTGTCGATTGATTATGTCTGTCTTTCGTCAGTTTTCCACTATTATTTATTTCTTCCCACTGGCTGCTGTTCTCTTCACTGGCTCAGCGATTTTTATCGACAGCCCTGTGTAAATGGCTCACACTTGTCCGTCACACACATGCAGAAATAGATTAACGCACACGAAGAGTTATTCGTTGTTGTTAACTATTATAAATACACCAAATTATCATTCTATTTAATTTACAGTTGAAATGTATTTCAGTCTTTCCCACTATCTCGCTTGTTTCATTTTTTCTTTGTTTCTGTCTGTCTGTCCATCTATCTATCTATCTATCTATCTATCTATCTATCTATCTATCTATCTATTTGTCTGTCTGTCTGTCTATCTATCTCTGTTCTTATCTATCTATTAGCCTCTTCATATCCATCCCCGTTTGTTCATATCTATCATTCTATTTTTGTCCGCTCCTATCTATCAACTTGTCAATTTATATTTCAGTTAGATTATATCTTCTTTTACCAGCCTAAAATATCTATCTATAACAGTCTGACAATTTCTATCTGTTGTGTCTGTCTGTCTATCTATCTATCTTGTCTATATGTCTGTCTGTGTGCCAGTTTAATCATATCTATCTATCTATCTATCTATCTATCTATCTATCTATCTATCTATCTATCTATCTATCAATTTAATCCTATTTGTCTGTCTGTCTATCAGTCGAATCACATCTGCCTGTTTTTTTTTTTTTTTACTCAGATCTATCTATCTATCTATCTGGATATTCTTTTCCTTTGTATCTATCTATCTATTTATCTATGTATCTATCTATCAGTTTAATCATATCTGTCTGTCTATCAGTCGAATCACATCTGCCTGTTTTTGTTTACTCAGATCTATCTATCTATCTATTTATCTATCTATCTATTTATGTGTCTATTCGTCTGTCTACCTGTCTATAAAATTAATAGGGATCTGGTGTCTCTAGGCTTTTCAGATAACCGACAATACTTAGTGATCTTAAACTGAGTCGTTGTCTGTTTGATAATCCTGTATAGACACATTGATTTGTACATTGTAATGATGGGGTTAGATTGATGACTTCGAAAGCCATTCATAGTGTCTTTGTTCCTCATTCTGCGCTCCATAAATGCAGATTTTTTTTCCTGACACATCTAAGTTCAAATAAACAAAGCCTGTGCATAGATGTGTGTGCTAATGCAAAGTGCATCTATACACTTTCTGCATACAAATTGAGATTCTTAAAAGGCATTCATTTCCAAGTCTGCTGCGATTAAAAGGATGCTCTAGTGGAATGCAGTTAATAATTCTTTAAATTCCTCCTTCGGAACAATTGCAAAGAAGGAAAATCCCGAAGATCGAGGTGTGGGATGATAATAAGAAGGCGCGGACGGTGGAGGTGGGGGGCGTTTTGATGGTAGTAGGAAAAGTGAAACAAAGAAAAGGTAAAAGTGAATTAAAAGGAGTGGGGGCAGGGGAAGATGTTGATGAGGGCGGGAAAAAGAAGAAAAAGAAAATAGGCCTAACGAAGAGAGCTTTACAGATAGAGTTTGAACATTTCTGCGCGTGAGGAACGGGAACAAAGATGGTCATAAGGGTAACGAGAAAGGAGAGAGGCGCTGGGGGGGGCGGTGTAGGGTGGAATTGAGAAAAACGATCAAGAAAAATTAAAAACCTCAAATAATCAATGAAAAGAAATGGGAGAATAGAAACAGTAATTGCTGACAGTCACGACGGGAATATGTAATAAAAGACATGCGAAAAGTTGAAGATATTATTTTATTATAATTATTTTTAGTTGCAGTGGTAATAAACTTGTGTACCAAATACAGGATGATTAAATTATGACATGGTGTTTATTTGGTACAATTATTTACTAAATACTATTTCCGACACGGATAAATGCTTCCTTTCAATTGCCCCGTACATAGTAACAGTGCTTACATAGTCCACTAAATACTAAATAGAATTTCCGGCTACAATTACAAGGTTTCTTTCGCTTGTCCCTCACTAGGGTATAGTGTTTATTTGGTTCACTTGTTTGCTAAATACTATTTCCAGCTACAATTTGAGGTTTTCTTTCAATTGTACCCCACTAGAGTACAGTACTTATTTAGTACACTTGCTCAACTCTGGTACAGTGTGTATTTAGTCAACTTGTTTACCCAACTCATTTTAATAAAATGGTTTCCTTTAATTATACTACCCTCTGGTAAAGTGAATATTTGATACACTTGTTTCCTATATACACTTTCCAGTTGCGATTAAAGCCTTTTTTTTTTTCAATAGTCCCCAACTGTGGTACAGTGCTTATTTTGTAATCTTGTTTATTAAGTACATTTTCCGGCACAATTAATTTTTTTTCTATCGTCTCTCACTCTGGTATAGTACTTATATGGTACACATGTTTAATAAATACTAGTTCCTGCTAGAATTACAGGGTTTCTTTCAGTTGCATCCGCCATTTTGTTACAGCGCTTATTTGATACTCTTGTTTACTAAATACATTTACTGGTACGATTAAATGATTTATTTCAATCGCCGCCCACTCTCGCACTGTTCTTTTTTGATAGTCTTTGTTAGTAAATACAATTTTCGTCATGGTTTAAGTATTTCTTTCAACTGCTCCCTACTCTCTTTCAGTGCTTTTTTTTAATAACCTTATTTGCTAAATACAGCTTTCTCGTACGATTAGATGATTTCTTTCAACTCACGACGCACGGCGTTTATTCGATACGTCACACTCATTATATTCATGTATTATTCTCCGGCTCGAAAATTCAATATTTCGTGTTCATTAAGCTTATTTAATAATTCCCTCGCAATGGTTATTTGAACTGGCCTGTTCATTGACGAAAGAATCACAGCTACCTGTCTATTCCAGACGGTACACGTACATTTGATACAATAGTGTAGACCAGGGATCACCAAACAACGTCCCGCGAGCTGGATCCGGCCCCCGACGTCAGTTTATCCGGCCCGCCACATCACTGTGACACAAATGAGCTAAACTATAATTTTTTTTATATGGAATTATCAATAGATCGTAGTTAAAATTACCACGTAAAAAAAAGTAAAATAAATCTAAGTAAAATGCCAAAATTTAGCCAATCTGAATTTTGCATCTGACAGAAAAATAAATTTTAGGAAAATCAGTGAAACAAAAATAGATTCGTGCGTTTTTTGTGTAAGTACCTGCAAGAAGTAGTGATTTTCCAAGCGTTGCTTAGATATGGCACAAGGCCGAAAGTAGAGGGGCACCCAGGGAGAATCGAACTCACTATTCGGTCGTAATTGTTCTAGCGAGACAAGCTTGTTAAACATTACACCGCCTCGAGGTACCCGTACCTGCAAGAAGTATCTAAGAAAAGCGATTACGAGCCTGCTGCAGTAATTATGTTTTAACTTGCATCGTCGTGTTTAAACTGGTTTGAAAAATGCTGTATATGAAAAGGACTGACTTCAGCGAATTATGTCATATATTTTGCCTGAACTTATAAAATCTAAAGGATGTAAAGTCAGCACATGGTTAGTATTACCATTACCATTATTATCTTCTAGGTAGGTTATAATTCCTGTAATCTTGTTAAAAATCTCTTCTGCTCCAAGTTTTGGTGTGTACAATTGTTAGCGCCATGTTTCTAATGTTGACTGATAAACATTAGAAAGCATTTCGCTTGGCTGGATGCAGCAATACCAAAACAAATATTAATTATATCTTAAAAGGTAAACGCCAGTTTTACACATCCCACTAACGTTTTGTGTTGCTTAGTTTGTGAGATTCGGATATGTGCGCACTTGGTATGATATAACTATTTTATTGCTATTATCGCCTTCTTAGATAATTTCTGAGTAAATAAGTATATGTGTTGTCTTTATTTTTTGTGTATTCAGTGTATTGTATTGAACAAAATGGCTATCCGACCGGCGCTAGTCATTCTCAAGGTTATCTGGCCCTCCATGAAAAAAGTTTGGTGATCCCTGGCATAGACGAACATTTCTCAAACATTTTCATGGTGACTTCTCTGATGAGCTCCACCACCCCACCCCCACCCCGGTACCTCAGCTAGATGCGTTTATGTGCAACTAGACTGAAACGAGGTCTCATTGTTTTACTGTTGAACTACCGAGATGCAACCTACTCGAAGAGTTTCTTTTCTCGGACTTCTCATCTCTTGAAATCAATATCGATTTCTTGCTTCCCTGATGACTACATTCTTTAAAAATTTAAATGCAACGTCAATCGTCATCTTCTGTCGACTTGAACCCTGTTCCTTTATTGTCCTTCATTCAGTCCTCCCCCTTAAAAATCTTCTTATTCTCTTTCACTCCCTGTCACCACCCCTGCGTTCTAGTGGAATTATCGCCTTGTTTGGGGGGTGAAATGATTTTTTTAAAAAAAACATAGTGAATGCCAATGTTTCAACAGTAAACAGAGAGAAACTAAATGAATGTGAAAAGCTGAAGTAAGATGCAGACCCCACGAGAGAATTAGAAACATGGTGCTAACAATTGTACACACCAATACTTGGAGCAGAAGAGATTTTTAACAAGATTACAGGAATTATAACCTACCTAGAAGATAATAATCGTAATGGTAATACTAACCATTTCCTTGTAAGAAAACATTCGACATTCTTTGCCTGAACCTACAATGAGAGAGAGAGAGAGAGAGAGAGATAGCTTTAGTTTCTTATCGATAATTATTCATATTGATATCAGTTTATGTATGCCCATCTATTGATATCAGTTTATTGATGATTATTTCAATCGATTCATGTCTATTTATATCCGTTTATCTCGTATCAATATCGATCTATTCATATCTTTTTTTGAATAATTGGCTTAGTTATTGGTTACTACTAGTAAATCCAGGTAGAATACCCGGAATGGAGCCCGAAACACTTACAACTTTCTGATAAATGCTGCAGCTAATCCCGGCCCTAAATATAATGTTCTGTGTTCCTTTGGATCTTGTCGGTACGACCGACAGGAGGGGCATGTAGTGTGGGCAGCGTTCATATACCATTGGTCAGGCCTGAAGAGGTCACTCCAGTTTCCCCACCAAATGACTGAATTTTTGACCATACAGTTCGCTATCTCGCAAGATAATCGATGCCTATTAGTACTACCGATTGTTATCTATCGTTATTCCTAATGTATAAATTACAATTTACAAGGTTCTGTGCTATCGACTATTGCAGCCATCCGCCGGGGGATCTTGCAAAATATCCCCACTCTGGATACGAAAAGTGCAGGAGGTACATATTTAAAAGCTAATTTCATAATGTCTGAGTACTTTTGGCTTTCATCAAAGAAAAAACGTTACGATAATACGATCTGCCACGTGAAGATACGATACTTAAAAACGCAAGGATGCGATATTTTAAAAATGACGTAACTGACGTAGCACAAAAAGTATTTGAAAATAACTTACGAAAGCTGAAAGTACTCAGGCATTGAGCAATTTATATTTATTAATAAATATGTACTGCAAACCAGGTCTGTGTTTTCAAATACAGAAAAAAAAACTGGAGCCAAAAATTTCTTTGGTCTTTAAGCAACCTTGTAAAAATTAAAAATCGCTTCTTAAATACATGTCATATATATATTGATGCATGTTTCATTAAATAATATAGACAAGTTTTGCCTATGAAAAGAATTTGCATAAAATAATTATGCAAATTCTTTTCATATCGTCTGATAAGCTTAATAACATTATCATTAAAAGACGAAAGAAAATCACCATATTGATACATACTTTTTAATCCTATCTAAGCTTTCGGCTTACATAAGCCATTATCAAAGATGACAATTACATTACAATATATTAAACAATATATATATATATACTTTTTAAACAGGATTTTATTTTTCGTCTACTGGTCTAAATGTTCAAGAAATCTTATTACAGATATATGCCTCCTCCGGCAAGATTCGAATCTGCGCCCCCACCCCTTTCCAGAAGAAAGATCCAACGACCTTTTAACCGACTCGGACACAAAATTTGGCTACACAGTAAAAATGACGTTTCAATTGATAAATATATGTCAGGTTAATAAAACAAAGACATACATTACTACTTTAGAAATTGCTTTGTTTACGAAACACACCAGTTACGAAATTTAAGGAATTTAAAATGAGGGATGTACATAAAGGCAATATACACATTCGTGTATAATTTACGTGGGTTGAGTCAGTTAAAAGGACGTCGGATCTAACGAGAGTTGTTCCTAGAAAGAAGTTGGCTCAGGATCCGATCCTACCAGAAGATACATTTTTCTTTTATAACATTTCTCGAATACTCAGACAGGTAGATGCAAATAAAATACTGTTTATAAAAATCAATGGAGCGTCTACTGAAAATAACGTTTGAAGTGATAAATATATATACAATAGAATTCTTATATCCGAACTTCACATTAGTTCGGATATGAGGATAGGTTCGGATATAATGTGGCATATTACTATGACTTAACGCAAGAACATATCACGATACAGTGTAACCCGGATATAAGAGAGTTGTCGGGACCAGAGAAGAAGTCTCTTATATCCGGGTTTGGTCTATTTTATATACATTAACACAGGCTCTAATTTGGGACCAGAGACAATCTCTCTTATATCCGGGTTTCTCTTATATCCGGGTTACACTGTATATGAAAAATTAATTATCTCACAAAAGTAAATATTAATTTACAATGTTTAATGCTCAATAAATTTTATTTTCAGTTGTCTTTCTTATTTCTTTTCTCATTTCGTTTACTTTTCACTGTTCTAAGTAAAGCATTTCTGTAAATTAAGTTCACTTGTAAATTCTGTACAACTGAACAAAGACTTTTTTTCTCTTTGAATTTGATGACCTCATCAATAGTTTTCTCTATTGAGTCCCAGTCTTCTATATAATCCTTCATATTTTTACCATTATCGGAAGCATTTAATTATTCCTCCTTTTCTTGACAATCCAAATCATTTTGTAGCAATTCTTCTTTTAAATTCTTTTGTAATTCATTAGCGTCTTTATTTATCTATTCTTTTAAGTCATCCAAAGTGAAAATATTCAGTGGATCATCTTCAAGCGCAAGTTTTAGAGTTTCGTTCAGATTCTGCAATCCTTGTTTGTTAATTTGAAAATTCAACGAATTAGGAGCTTCGTCCAGTTTTTCAAGAATCTCTAATTTCTGACGTAACGTAACAGAATTCCTTTTCCCCTTTCTTCCAGTTGAAGCTTCTTCTGTGCGAGACATTACGGATTGAGAAATTTCAAGTTACTAACAATTATCTGCAAAGAAAAGAAATATATTAAAATGTAGCATATTCCTACAACATCAAAATGGCAACACTGAGAAATTCGGATATGAGAACATCTCTCTCTCCCTCTCTCTCTCTCTATCTATCTATCTATCTATATATATATATATATATATATAGGCAGATGTGTCTACGCCTAAATCGAAGGATACGTGATAGAGGCGAATTGAAAGAGTTGCCAAAGAAAAAATATTCATGAACGTAAATTTTAATTTATTTTTCATTTATTTTCCTTTCTCCCCGACAAGGCTCCAATGATTAAGACATTCCTTTGCCGATACTGGTTCCAATAAAACTCGTCTACTTCGCTTGATATTAAGTGTAAGGAAAGCTGAAATCTATATATGTTGGAGATAATCAAAAACTAATATCGTTCACCGTTTCCATTTTAGAAATTTTAAGGCACATTTTTAAGGAATATACTTAAAGATAAATATTAATTTTTATAAAAATCGGTATGTTTGAAGTGTCAAAATAGGTTTTTACGCCTTTCAATAGAACTTGAAACAAATAGGTATAATTCTCAAATGTTGATTCCAATTTGTTTGAAAAGTGCATATGATATGATATTTAATGTTTGGGTACGTTTTAGTTGGTGTTCTTCAATGGATAGAGAAGCGTATCGATTTTCGATAAAAGCATTTCGATATTTATCTAGGTGAATTCATTTTTAGATACGTTTTAGCCTGTCTAAATCAGATAGAGAGAAATGCAGAAGCACAGACACGGTGGAGTAATGGATAGCGGTTCGAATTGAGTTATCAAAGTGTCGAGTTCAAATTCCAGTCGCGATCGTTACATTCGCTTACGTGCGAATACCCTAGGAAATACACTGTTCAAAACACTCGCTAAAAATCAGGATATACTGGGCCTTAAAGCCTTAGTTGGTAAGCGGTCTAGTTAAAGAAAAAATCTGATTTTAAAAACCTGAGGAGGGTCTTTTGGGATATATTTTGATTTACAGGAGATATTTTAATACAATTATATTTATATTTCGTGAGAGAAAGAACGTTTTCAAAAGAATTATGAAGAACATGGTTTTATATATATATATATATATATATATATATATAGAGAGAGAGAGAGAGAGTGTGTTTACAATACAAATATTCTTCATGTCTATATTGGTTAAATGAATATTTGACGGAATATTAACCCACCTTAAACCAATAATTCTGAAATCTGATAATATATATAACCGAACTTTTTTGTTGGAAACTCACACGGTGAAATCGACGAGGGTTCATTGTAATTATATATATATATATATATATATATATATATATATATATATATTTCCAAAGGATATAATCCTGGTAGAGCTTTATGTCATGTTCCCCCCTCCCACTATACACTGTCACAGAAATTTTGTTATTTAAACGCGGAAATATATTTTCAATTTTCTTTTTTGAATTTGTAGTTCTGATGAATTGAGTCGTTATTACGAATCCAATGAAATAAATTGTAACCATGAAATATTACTGTTTACATATATATATATATATATATATATATATATATATATATATATATATGTGTGTGTGTGTGTGTATGTGTGTGTGTGTGTGTGTGTGTATGTGTGTGTTTAAAACTACACGATGACATTTTTATCGTAAGGAATACTTTCAGCCTACACTTCGTAAGAAGGAAAACGTTGGCAAAATTAATGACGAAAACAAAATATGGAAAATTCACACACCAAAAAGTTGAAGAGGCAAAATTATCAGGCACAATTAATATATATTTACTGGTAAAATAATTTACGAATAAGATACATAGATACATGCATATGTATACACACACACACACACACACACACACACATATATATATATATATATATATATATATATATATATATATATATATATATATATAACCATGGAATATTAGTGTTTGAGCCTTTTATATTATTTTATATTATATATATATATAAATAACTCACTCAGAAGGAAAATTCTAGAGAGTGCCGCCATTGAATATTACCCAAATATTAATCTACGCCCAGCCCTTTTCCCTATTTCACCTTTCTTAACAGAATTAAAACTCTCCAAAACAAACGTACACAACAATATCGTAAAATCAAAAGAAAATGGTTGAATCCGTAAACACAGCAATAATAACAATATCTACACACGTGACAGTAATGGAAATAATTTTCAGTCAACAGTATGAAAATAGCGTCCACTAAATTCTTCCAGTTGCTAAGGACATTTTGTTTTTGTTATTATTAGTTACTTTGTTTAAATAAATTCAGTTCGTTTTTTGCTTTGAGTAAGTTATATTTAATTTATTTTGCGTTTATATTTAGTTTTTTGGGGGTTCATTCCCACCCCTCTCATTTTTCATCACAGATTTTTAAGTATTTATTATTATTAAATTTTACGGCATGGGGCGCATTTTCTAGGTCCTACTTTTGAGGATACGGTATTATGTTGTATAGAGGATTTGATTGGTGATGGACGAGTTTTTGTAGTCAATGGGCAAATTGTCATGAGTGAATGGGTCGTGAATCGGATTAGCTAGGTAGAAGATAGTTAGTGATGACCCGCCTCAACCCTCCCCTTCATCTTGTGCCATAATTGTATTTATTACAATAAATACCGTCCACATTGGACACAAAACGCGTCAGCAATAACTACAGTTTTCCTATTGTCATTTATATATATATATATATATATATATATATATATATATATATATATATATAATATCATCATCATTATATTTTGATTTTTGCTCTGCTCACACTACGTACCAAGTCTGCCGGAAGATTTCAGGCATGTTGTTGTGTGTTGCTATGGCTACATTTCATGATTTGTTTTTTGTTTATAATTCGGAGCTAGGTTCCATTGTAAAATGATGCTAAGAATAATTTAGAAGTTGCATCAGAATAGAACCGAACTCCGAATTTTAAGTTTAAACTTTAAAGTTAAATTTAAAGATTTGAACTTCAGTTTCGAAACAGTAATTTCGGTGTCGTGATGGAGACATATTTTTAAAAAAATAATTATACAGTGTAATCCGGATATAAGAGACCCGGATATAAGAGAAACCCGGATATAAGAGACCCGGATATAAGAGAAACCCGGATATAAGAGAGATTTTCTCTGGTCCCAAATTAGAACCTGTGTTAGTGTATATAAAATAGACCAAACCCGGATATAAGAGAAACCCGGATATAAGAGAAACCCGGATATAAGAGAAACCCGGATATAAGAGAAACCCGGACATAAGAGACTTCTTCTCCGGTCCCGACAACTCTCTTATATCCGGGTTACACTGTAATAATATAGTCTACTTTGTATCGAGCACTGTTTTTTAAAAATAAAAATAATCGCTAAAGAACTCTGGATTATAAACCTAACTATTCTTTCCTATAATTTGAATATATATATATATATATATATATATATATATATATATATATATATATATATATGAGAGAGAGAGAGAGAGAGAGAGTGATATAGACAAAACCAGATAGATAGATATTAAAACTACGGTTAGGTAAATAGATATGAACAAACTGGATAGATAGATAGATAGATAGATAGATAGATAGATAGATAGATAGATAGATAGATAGAACCAGCTGTATAAATAAAACGTGAATAGTAGATACATAGATAGATGGGAAGACGCAGAGATCGATAGACAGGTGGATAGATCGACAGACAGACTGACACACAGATAAGTAAAACCAGCTATATCGCTAAAATCAGATAGATAAATAGATAGATATACAAACAGACAAATTGACAGGCAGATACTGAGATAGATAGATAGATAGATAGATAGATAGATAGATAGATAGATAGATAGATAGATAGACAAAAACAGTTATATTGATAAAAGCAGATAGATCGATATGAACAAACTGGAGAGATAGATAAATATATAAATAAACAAACTGGTGATATATATATATATATATATATATAAAGAGAGAGAGAGAGAGAAATGGAGATAGACAGACAGACAGACAGACAGTAACAGACGTGATAACGTTTTTAGCATATCACAAGTTTAAAATATTTAGAATCCGACTATGTATTAATTTTAATCGATTTATTTTTTTGCCCCAAAGTTAACTTGGTTTTAAAACAGTGAAATTGGCTTAAAACAGAAGAGCTAGTAGATATAGATTTCAAAAGAGATATGTATCTATATATAAAATTCTGTGACTTCCGTTGGTCCGTCCGTCCGTCACACCCTCTAAAACAGCCATACATTGGCCGATCAAAACTTTGGAGAGAAGTGCAAACAGGTAAGTGGGTACAACGTACAGTTAGGTTTATTAAAGCGCATAGCTTAGTACAAGGCATTTTCATTAATTTGGGGGAAAAATTAACAGTTTTGTCTTTTTTTATTTAGCATACAAGATACTCCCACTATTTTAAAAACAATTTAATAATTTAAATTAACAGTTTTGTCTTTTTTTTTATTTAGCATACAAGATACTCCCACTATTTTAAAAACAACTTAATAATTTAAATAACAAATACTTATTTAATAAAAATGCGATATTGTTTTTGCATACCTTTTCTTTATCTTTTTTTTATATCTACAAGAATACAGTTTCCAGTTCATCCTGCGTTTGCGAGAACTATAAACAAATCTCAAGGCCAAACGCTTTCTCTGTGTTTTAAAAATAAAACTAAATAATTCTGATGCCTTAATCTCGCACGAGAGAAAGCAATTTTTCAGTTTATCGAAAAGTAGGTTTCATAATCCAGCTTCTTTTTTCTTAGATTTTGGAAACTGAATGTTGTAATAAAATCTTCTTTCTTTCATCAATTTATAGATTTCAGATCGTCCATTACGGAATCATCATTTGTAATCCTTCGCAGTTTTCCGCTGTCGAACGCAAACACTTGACACTTAATCTTGATGCATATTCGTTGTAAATGTGACGGTAACAGTTCACAATCGTACTTGGTATCGCGCCTCCGCCAGACTAACCCCACTAAGTGTGTCTGTTCATATATGCAGAATAAGATCACCTGACTGGGAGCCTTGCAACCGATTCTTGTTATATTCAAAATAGCTGTATACTTTCAGGACAGTATAAATTTTTTATTCATCAGCCGTGATGTAATGAGAAATTGACAATTTTTAGAAATTAAATATCCAGTTGATATATATATATATATATATATATATATATATATATATTATTCAACCTTATTTGAGATCATCGAAGCCACAAATCATCGCCACAGTCAAATGAAAACTTCATAATCTTTTTTAATTGCCCCCATAGCAATGGTTCCCAAAGTGGACAGAATCGTCTGCCCTTTGAAAGATCCAGGGGGCAACCAGAGAGTGTGTTGTGGCACTTCTGAACCACAACATGCATCACACACCCACATTATCCCTGATTGTATCTTGCTTACATTTGACTGTCTATCCCATTTATACAACAATTTTTATGGGAAACACGAAGATACTCATTTGAGATGCAATTCTGGGATAAAGAAAACGCAATCAATACATTTTTGGTGAGGGCAGGTCGTTGGGATTCTGCTTTGTTTCACAAAGGAGCGGCAAATCCCAAAAGTTTGGGAACCACTTCCCCATAGTATGCGCCTCGCTAATGTTAGATAAGCGGTTTTAAAATCAGAATTGTCCTTCTCCTTAAATGGTTTCCAACCACAGTTAGAGAGCACTGTTTCCACACTCTCTAATCCATAGCTTGGGGAAAGAGACCATATATTCATACCCCTCTCAAGTGTATCTGTGGAAAAATGAAAATTATGAACATAGATCGCCGATTATTCTTTGAGAGTCGCTAACTGTTGCACTAGCCACTGTTTTTAACACCGACAACTGAAATTATAATTAAAAGCTTTGGGTTTTTCTTGTTTTTTTTTTTTTGGCGGGGGGTTGTTTTTTTGTTTTTTGTTGTTTTTTTTTTTTTTTTGGCTGGTAAGAAATTAAAGTTAAGTCTACTCAATACTTAAACAACATCCTCAGTATCTTAATTGATTTTTGCCATATTATCGTTTGAACCATTTCCAGTTTTCAAGATTTCTATTTTTTCCAGCTCTGCTCGTCTTTTTGAGATTCTTCCAACTGATCCAGTAATAATTAGGATAATTGCCATTTTCAGTTACCATAAGTTTTCCACTAATAGTCTAGATATTTATCCTAAGGTCTAGATATTTATTATTTAAATAAAATCTAGATTTTTTTTTAGCAAGATCGACCCAAGCAAGGCAGTAAAGCCACTGAGACAAAGGATTACTAGGTGTGGAAGAATTAGAATATATATATATATGTCATCCATATATATTTAGTGTCATCAGTGTGGCTGGACGTCCAATTGCCATAAGCCAGGATCGAAACCCGACTGATATCAGTCGAAGATTTTTACCTTAAGCTGTTAGCTCTCGGCACAGAGGAAGGTGAATTTTTATGTATTTATTTTGAATAAACATGCCAGTGATTCAGAGTGCTCGATTCATAGGAGAGCTTTGCATTATCAGCAATAGCAGTCACTGTTTACAAATTTGCACTTACCCTTGAGAGAAAGCAATTTTTCAGTTTATCGAAAAGTAGGTTTCATAATCCAGCTTCTTTTTTCTTAGATTTTGGAAACTGAATGTTGTAATAAAATCTTCTTTCTTTCATCAATTTATAGATTTCAGATCGTCCATTACGGAATCATCATTTGTAATCCTTCGCAGTTTTCCGCTGTCGAACGCAAACATACCTCTATACCATAGAGTGCTCAACTGAATTTTATTTTTTGGGGTTCGTATATATATATATATATATATATATATATATATATATATATATGTGTGTGTGTGTGTGTGTGTGTGTGTGTGTGTGTGTGTGTGTGTGTTTAGAACCTCCTCCTGCCAACGATCCACTACCCGTTCAATTCCTCGACGATAGAAATCACTAGGTTTTGATTCGTATAATTAATCAAGCTACGTTTTAAGCTCCCCATCATTGAACTAAACGTCCCTGAAATTGTTAGAACGAAACCGAAAAACGTGGTCGTCTGAAAGGGCTAAATCAAGATAATAGGCTGGGTGTGGCAGAACTTCCCAACCGAGCATATTAATTGCATACGTAGTCATGTTAGGGAGATTTTTGTCATGTTGAATAACCACACCGGTTAGATCTTTTAAGTTGAATTGCGTCTTTAAGTTTCTGTTCATTTGTTCAGCATACAGATTAGTATTGACCATTTAGTTGTTCTGAAGCATTCCATCACCGTGCTCAGCGCAAACGTCTCAGGCGCAAATTTGCGACCTTCATTAAAAAGAAAGAGAAGATATCGAACAAGATCATCCTTGTCTCGATGGCCTTCTATCTCAAAGGGGTGTCTAATATGGAATAAAATTTTAATAACGTTATACAACTGTTTCCCATGATGACCAGAGTTAGTAAGAAGCAAAAAATGGTACGAAAGATTATTCTTCAAGATAATTCGCAGAACATTAGAAAAAAACGAATGAATATACAATCCAGTACGAAAGTAAGTGAACACTTACATTTACACTTTGTATATTTCTTTTACATGGTTGCCAGTGCAAATATTTTTTTGTGTAAAAAAATCAAAATGACACCTGTTCATTTTTTAATAAGCTGTGTATACTGCAGTCAAACATTATGACTCATTGTGTATGAAAACGGGCGCAGTCAGAGACTAAATTAAAAAAAAAATATGCCAAGATCAAAGGAACTTCCTGAAGCTTTACAAAATCGGGTAGTTGAAACATATAATGATGGAAAAGGCTACAAAAAGCTGTCAAAACGATTTGGAGTGCCCGTCTCCACCGTGCGACAAATTATTTATAAATATCTCAAGGGGTGTCTAGTAGACTCCCCTTGAGATATTTATAAATAATTTTGATATCAGTCGGAGATTTTTACCCTAAGCTATCAACTCTTGGCACAGAGGAAGGTGAATTTTTATGTATTTATTTTGAATAAACATGCCAGTGACTCAGAGTACTCGATTCATAGAAGAGATTTGGTGCCATCATTTGCTATGACGGCACCAAAATCAATAAGTAGCCGCCCGCAAAAAATAACTGCAAGTGCAAGTAGACATTTAGTTCGGCAAGCATATATCTATAGTGCGACGAAATCTAAACGATGCCGGTCTTCATGGCAGAATGCCTAGAAAAAACAACTGCTTACGGAAAGGCATATACAAGCTCGGCTCAACTCTGCCAAATCTCATATTAATAATTTAGAAACATTCTGGCAGAAGATTTTATGGCCGGATGAGACCAAACTAGAGCTTTTTGGGAGGAACGATAGGCGAGATCCTAATACGGCTCCTAATACAGCTTTTGAAGATAAGAATTTGGTGCCAAACATATTGACAGTAGCATTATGATTTTGGGTACTTTGCTGCAGCTGGACGGACAAAATAGTACGCATTGATGGCACAATGGACCCTGAAAGATACCAAGCAGATTTGAACGAAAGTCTCTTGCCCTCGGTTCGAAAGTTGGATTTAGGTCGGTATTGAATCTTCCAACAGTGCAATGACCCGAAGCATCCATGCTAATCTACAAAAGAATAGCATCGAAAAAAGAAATTTCTTCAAGTTTTGGAATGGCAAGTAAACCTCCTGATCTAAACCCTTGTCATTCCAGTTAAAGAATGTAGTACATGCAAGAAACCCAGGTTATATCGAACAATTCTGGGAGTTAAGAAGGAATGGTTAAAAATTGACGCTCGTTACTGCCAGAAGCTTTTTAAAAATTATAGAAAAAGACAAGTCGATGTCGTGACCTCAAAAGGAGGAATTACGAAATATTAAATGTGAAGGTTCATTTACATTTGCATGTGTTAATTTTTAATTAATATTTTACTTCATATTGATAAGAATTTTTGAAAGTTGTTATA